CCTTGATTGGAATCAAACTTGGGAACCTTTGGTCCACAGGCCGACACTGTATCCATGGAACCAAACTGGCTAGGGCTATACAACGATTTCTGAGAGAGTCTGTATTCAAACCCAGGTCTGTGTAATTCCAGAGCCTGTGCTTTTACACATACACTTTAAAAGCTAAGAGAAGGATTAAAAAAAAAAAAAAGACATTTGACAATCATAGGTGTTACCTATATAGTTCCTTCTGCATCCCTCCTTTTTTGTTGTTAATCCTCACCTGAGGATATTTTTTCCCATTGATTTTTAGAGAGAGTAAAAGGGAAGGAGGGATGGAGGGAGAGAAACAAATGTGAGAGAGACACATAGGTTGGTTGCCTGCTGCACTCACCCTGTCCTAAAACATGACCATTTCAATTGTCCTGTATTCAAGTTCACTGATTCTCTCTCCTGTCCACTCCAATATGCCTTGGTGATGAAATGAAACCTCTTTGGAAATGAATTCTAACTCGCTGTTCTCAAAATGCTCCCCACCCCAGATCAGCAGCTTCAAAACGGTCTGGGAGCTCGATAGAAATGCAAATTCCCAGGCCCTCCTCCAGACCAAGTGATTCGAAAACTCTAAGGCTGCCTCCCAGCAGCCTGTGTTGTAGTAGCGCTATGGCTTGCAAACCACTGAGCTAAGCCCTTTGATCCTGAAATGCGTGTGAACGGGCTGCCAGCCCTCATGTGTAACGTGGTCCCTTTATCAGGTGAACATTTGCCACCAGTTCTCCAAGCCTGGGATGAATTGCATCAAATTACTTGTTCTTGGAGTTGCTCTTAAGACTACAAAACTGTCTGGGGCCCGGCCGGGGTGGCTCAGTGGTTGAGCATCAACCCAGCAACCAAGAGGTCATGGTTCAATTCCTGGTCAGGGGGGTTGCAGGCTCGATCCCCCATAGGGGTGTGTAGGAGGCAGCCAATCGATGATCTTTCTCTCTCATTGGTGTTTCTATCTCTTTATCCCTCTCCCTTCCTCTCTCTCCCCAAAAATCAATTAAACAAGAAGAAGAAAAAAACGGGCTGGGTCAGGCTAAACAGCACTCACCTGCACCCTCCAGAACCAGTCAGACATGTTGAGAGTCATCCATAGTTCAAGAAGCTTGTGTTGCCTGACAGGGCATGACTTTTTCAGCTCTATAAACTGAGCATTAATAAGCAAGCACAGCCCCTGACTGGTTTGGCTCAGTGGATAGAGCATCAGCCCTCAGACTGAAGGGTCCTGGGTTCAATTCCAGTCAAGGGCACATGCTCGGGTTGCGGGCTTGATCCCCAGTAGGGGGTGTGCAGAAGGCAGCCGATCCATGTTTCTCTCTCGTCATTGAGGTTTCTATCTCTCTCTTCTTCTCTGAAATTATATATAAATTATATATTCTGAAATTATATATATTTTTTCATATATATATGAAAAATATCCTCGGGTGAAAATTTAAAAATAATAATAAATAAATAAATAAGCAATCACTCTGCCCCAGAACCCATTTTCCATCTGAAGAAAGGAATAGCTCTTCTCTGCACCCTGAGATTATTCTAGTCCAGTTTATCACTTGCTGGTCCCTGGGCACCCCAGTGGCTCAGTCTGTTCCCACAGGACGTGGTGCGGCACAGGTAGAGCAACTCCCCTCGCGTTTACTGGAGACTGTGAAATCGAAGTCCTTCCCGAACTTGCCTACCTTTTGTTCAAGTTGCTTTATTCTGTCCTCGGCTGCCTCGGTGCCTGCTTCCTAATCTATATCTTACCCCAACCACAGCTCCCCACAGACACGGTCAGTATTTGTCTAGACCCTCTAGAGAACAGGAAACCTGGAAGTCATGGTTTTGGGTGTGTTTATTTTTATCAAAGTAATACATTTTCATTAGGGGACCAAGTGCGGTTTAATAGGACACCCGTACGGCATCTCTCCTGGATGTATCTCCCATGCCCGTTCCCACGCGACCGCGTCGCACCCAGAGGAGGTAGGTAGATACTATAAGCACCAAGGTTCCTGTTTTTCCAAAGAGAAAAAAATACACAATCGAGACAAAATAATTTATCACAACAGACAAGACGAATCATTAGCAAAGTCAGACTCGGGATCCAAGACAATCGAGCTGCTTCGTGCCCACACCGTCCGCCAGCCGTCAGCCCTGGCCCTGTATCCTCTCCAACCTCAACAGTACCACACACTCCACACAAAGCCGAGGGCGCCAAGCAATGCCAGCCACGTGGAACTCTCCACGCTTCCCTCTCCCCTTCCTAGCTTTAGGGGAACAGAAGGGCTCGGCAAACAGTGACCTCTAGGGTTCCTTCCACACGCGCAAGCCACTCCTTCGCCTGCTGAGCCGTTTTGCACCCGGGGACCACTCTCAGCTCCGCGCAGCCCCAGATCCCAGCTCTTCTCTCAGCTCGCCTAAGATCAGTCCGTGCTAACATCCTGATCTTTTCTGCACGTTCAGGAGACTCTATTACCATATCGTTGAGATGTCACAGGTGGGATGGAAAGAATTCTATTTAAAGTCATTGCATTTCAAAACCTTCTCCCTGGGACACAAACACGTTCAACAAGAAATACACTCCGCTTAACGAAATGTGTGGAGCACGCCCACCCGAACGGAGACCACCTGGCCTAACCTTGGTCAGTGGGTGAAGGCCGGTCTAGACAACTGGAAAGAGTAAGGGCTGTGGTCACGTGAGCTCACGGGGAGGAGGATCTCAGGCTAATCATCTCAATGGTTCGGGACAGCGTGGCGGCTTTGAGATGACGGATCCCCCTCCCCCAAGAGGCACATTTGCTCTGGGATATGACACAGAGTCAACTTCTCAGTCAATATGTCAACACCCACCTCATGAGGAAGAGTGGACCCTGGAAATGCATGATAGTCCCTCCAGAGTGTACTTTGTGCAGCCACAGAAAAAGGTTAACCCCCAAACAAAGCATGTGTTCATAAATAATGCCCATATTAGCCATTCAGCCCACACACACGTTGCTGAGGGGCTAGAACATTCCAGGCACTGGGAATGCCAGCGTGAGGGAAATACCAAACACGTGGCACCCCCAGTGGACATTTTTAAGGAGACCAGAAAATCCTCTTGACTCAA